CAGCTCATTTCTGTTTTATGCCTCTGCTGGAAATAGTTTTTCGTAACTTTTGCCAGCCCAGCTTGTTCTTGCTTAACTATTTGGTGTCCTGCTGATTTAGGCATGTTTGTGATAGAGTCTTGTGTAGAGTTTTTGGTTTATGAGTTTGACAATGTCCGGAGTTAACGACCCAAAAGGACTTGCTCGATATGCGAATTAATTGTTCCACAATTATTGGTTGAGCTAGCTAGAACAATCAACTATGTGTTGATGTTCGAGTAGGATTGCTTGTGGTGTTTTTTCTTGAAGAACTAATCGAACTTATTATGATGGTGATTTGATTTATGCTATGTTTGGTAACCAAATAAGATAGCTTATAGCTTATTTCGTTAGGTTATAAGTTTCTTGTATTCAAATAAGTTTAGTTTGGTAGGACAGTCTTTTTTAAAAAACTCGAGCTTATTTTATAAGATTCTTTGAGTAACTTTTCAAAGAAGCTCGTTGACATTTTTATTTCAAGTAGCTTATCCGCTAATTTTACAGAAAACTTTTATCATATATGCTAGCTTTGCAGGAATAAGTCATAAGCTATAAGCTATAAACTCAAAAATCACTTATGAGCTATAAGCTAGCTATAAATAGGGATTTGATCCTTATTCCTAATCAATAGTACAAAGCATCTTATGTTTTTCATCCTTCTTGTTCCTCATTCCTGTTAGTACTGACTTGAATTGCACAGTTTCTAAATTTTTAATGGGTTTTGGAGAATGATATTAGTTTACGCAAACAACTCGCTTCGTGCGTGTTTTAGCAATTAGACTTTTCAAAATCTTGATGGCATTTTAATGATGCTTGGTCTTAATTTATTAAGAAACGTTAGTATCTTACCATTTGCCCTTCAATTTTTCGGATAGTGCACGCAATTTGTGTTGGTCCTTTTAGCCGTTTTTGTGTTGTTTTCAATTGATTCTGTAGTTTTTGGGGCAAACAACCTTTACCACTTTTGTGATTTAGTACAAAACAAACATTCTACAAATAATTCCCATCTATTTTATCTTTATTTTATTTTCTTTTCTGTTTTTTTCTTTGTTTGATAGTTTTTTTTTTTTTTT